ATAAAAATTATAAACAAACGAAACGTAATAAAACAAGCATTATGAAAATGTATACCTAAAAAAAAAAGCATAGGTCAGATTCGAAGCCCAGAGCGCAAAAGCTAATCGAGCATTCTTGACCGCTCAGCTATCGATGACAAACATTCTAACTGAGTCATTAGCCATACATGAACTGTTTAACCAGGTATGAGGGCTTTAATTAAAATTGGAAATTTTTATTCCAATTTTGTTGTTTTAATTGAGATGTAATGGAAGATTATTGTTTTAGTGTGTATTGCTCGGAATTCCGCTTTGGCCTTCTATACTTAAAGAGGATATATTCTATATTCTCTGGTAATGTATAAGTTCTTTTTCATCAGAGCTTAGGTTACATATATCTGCTCTGTTCCCCCACGACCGCCACTCGTGGATACGACTATACCTATATATACGGAAGGGGGCCAACCAATCAGAGGCGTGTAAGAGAAAGAAAGGTTGTACTGCTATTTGTCTTTTGTCTCTCTCATCTCGTCTCGCGGTCGGAGCATACAATTCTTCCTCCGCATGTATATATTCTCTAAGAAGTAGACTGACTTCGTCTGTTTTACTGCTGGCTGGATTGCGGATCACATCACCAGTAAATCGACAGTAGCGCCCCCAACCACGGAACGTTGTCACGTCTTGCACATGTAACTGCTGGTGGCGATAGCGGATTACACCCCATATCTGTCTTTCTCGCACGTTGCTTACGGTGGGAAGCTGGTGGTAATCTAAGGCCAGCTGATGCAAATTCAGGTTGCCAATCACCACACAACCCGAGGCGCCTACTGGTAACTTTATAATTTAATAAAGATTCAAATAATAACAAAAGCACATATTACTTAACAACCCAGGGCACTTGCAGATCGCTTCCTGAATCAGTTAAGCTTCAAATAATAGCTTTAACAATATTGGTTAAATCGTAAATAGCGCACACATCAGAACGTTATGCTTTCTATTTTAATAAAGTAACATAGCAGTGCCTTGGGTTTCCTGGTAATGAGCACTTATGTTATTTTTTAATTATTTATTAGTTAATAAAGTGTCCAGNTGGGTTGTGTGGTGATTGGCTCTTGTGTTATTTTATTGAATTTATTAGTTAATAAAGTGTCCAGTAAGCGCCCCGGGTTATGTAGTAATTGGCTCTTGTGTTATTTTATTAATTAACAAAGCGGCTAGTAAGCATCTTGGGTTGTGTGGTGATTGGTGCTTTTGTTATTATTTAAGTGTCCAGTAAGCGTTTCGGGTTACTGGGTTATTGGGGTTCTTGGGTTATTGGGTTTAATAGCTTGGGGTTTATTTTTTGATTATGTAAAAAATTCTATCGGATTATGTGGATTTATGCGTTTTGCTCTATGTAGCCAATTTAAATTTCGCGCTACTTTGGATGCCACTTTCAGAAGCACCCTCACCGTTGGCAACGTGCAAGAGAGACATATAAACACGTTCGATGTTGTGTCTCTTTCTACTTGTGCTTCAGCACCACATTATAATGAGTAGTCTATTTTTCTTATAAGTCTATGTAAGGAGACAGGGGTCTGATTGAGTTCTTACGTTTAAATACTTCAAATCCCACTCTGGACAAAAATTTTATTTAATAAATGAGGTTTTTTTGGCGGGGATTTGAGCTTCATTAAAACCTACTAATTGCCTTACCATTTTACACCTACCGTTAAGTAACCAACGTATGGCTAAATACACTTTATAGTGTCAAAATAGCCATGTTTAAGACCCCTTATAGGGCACGATGATGAATATAAAAAAAAAATATATATATACTGTTAAACATATATTCATATACCTTGGCCAAGCCCTGGTCTTAGCCATTGGATCACTTTCTTGTCGGGTTTTTACCTTGGCCAGACCTTGGTTTTGGACTTATTATCATATTCTTGTCGGGAGAGACAGATACCCACGCTTGGTGCTGTGTCTTTTTCTACATGTATTTTAGGCTTTAGCTCCATACACATGAACGAGGAGTCTTCATTTCTAATATGCTGATGTCTTACATCGTGTCTAGCTCCAGCTGCTAATAAGCGGTCCATTTTTTTTGTTGCTATTCTAGGACCATAAAGAGGATGAAGAGTGCCATCTATATTTTCGTAGACTGTAAGCCAGGTCATAATCATAGCCATACAAAGAATAGACCGCTTATTAGCAGCTGGATCAGTGAGGCTCGCGTAGAAAGAGAGAGAAGACGAGGGCAGTAAGTCATTCTCTCTCTTGTACACTTATGGAGTAGGGTCGTATGTCGCAGGGGTACAGGCAGGATGACGGAGTAGAGGCATCGACGCACACTCCTGCTTGTACATTCACGACCCCACTAACCCCACTCTGTAAGTGTGCGAGAGAGAGAAACTCACTCAGAGACATAAGTAATATAGACTGCTCGTTCTCATGTACGGCACTGAAGCCCAAGTAGAAAGAGAAATAATGTTGAACTTGTGTATCTGACTATCTGTCTCTCTTTCTCTCTCTCACGTTGCCAACGGCGGGGAGGTTGCATCAGCTGGCCTTATCTACCAAGAGCTGAGGCCAAAGGATGGTCAAAATTTTAACCAACCGCCACTCTCACCAGAATCAAGGAACCTTATGAATTGTAGAGACCCAAAATATTTCGGTCATATTTCAGGGTAGTGAAGAGTTATGTGGTAATTATAGTGGTCCCGTATAGTCTTTTTTATAAACTAGCCACAACTTATACCAATCGATATTTAATAATAAGTTGTTAACAATCAATGCTATTTGTGGCAAGATTAAAATGCATTTTGTATTCAAAAATCGACCTTAAAAAATAAAGACTCCCTACCCGATCTTATCTACAATACTCATCTAAGATAATAGATGATTCATTGTAGATAATATTTTCGATAAGAATACAATATCTATATTTTTGGAGGTTGATTTCCTGGTACAAGATGCATTCTAATCTTGCCGCAAGTTGAATTTTGTAAACATTTAATTTTCTATTCATTGGTATAAGTTGCGGCTGGTTAATAAAAAAGACTATACGGAACGACTATAATTACCACATAACTCTTTGGGTGTTTTTCGCAATCGTCACCAGCAAGTAATAGTGGGTTGCGCTCTACGTTACCATCAGGTCAGTAAGTCAACTACCTTGAATTAAACTGGCGCTATATTCCGTAATCTGGCCAGTTAAAATAGCAGACGAGAGTCAACAGCGATAAAATCTTCACTTTTTTCTCGACTTTTACGTCGTCTGCTGTTTTAACTGGCCAGATTACGGAATATAGCGCCAGTTTAATTCAAGGTAGTTGACTTACTGACCTGATGGTAACGTAGAGCGCAAATTTAAATTATTTGCTGGTGACGATTGCGGAAAACACTCCAAGCGGCGTTACCACCACGACCCGTATCCCTATATGTAACTTTACAGCCTCTGATTTTATCATTCTGGTAAAGAGAGCACGGTGTAAGATGTACGTGAAGTTATGTGTCGTAATTAAAGTAATTACTACTAAGTAATGCC